CTTCACTTGTCGTCTTGCTCCTCAGGATTTCTTACATTAACTATACCGTTTGAGTGAGTCTCCAGAATATAAATAATGCTTTATGTCCAATTAAATTATGTTGTATTTTAAGATAACTGAGCAACATGTAATTTACCATTAGAAATAACCTCCCAGCTAACTCACATTACACCAGGAATCAGATGTGGAGAATATTAACCTTTGATTGTATATAATTTATCACTAGCTGTTCCTTATACATACTACACGAGGCTTAGTTATTATTTAATCAACTCTTTCACTACAGAACAAACTGGCGACGTCTCTACCCTCCGTTAGAATATTCTCTCGTATTTTTTTATTTATTCATTAACTATCAAATATCTAACAGAGTATAATCCTTTAATTTATCTCCTTCTCGCTGTCGTTATTGAGTTCTAATACTAAACATTAATCCCATAGAAGTGATCAACCACCCCAAGTAACACCGCTCTCTTTGCCACTAAATCGATTCATAATCCTGATGATCTCTGAATTTAGCACCACCAGTCCACCACTTACCACCAATTATCAGTAATCATTGAGTAATTGACTGAAATGATTTACCTGTTCCCCAGCGCCAATCGACGACGCACCTGAGTATGTGTATGTGTGTGTGTGTGTATATGTGTGTGTGTGTGTTTTATTACTTTGCATTATGATTTTGCCAGTCATGATGTGTGTGTGTGTGTGTGTGTGTGTGTGTGTGTGTGTGTGTGTGTGTGTGTGTGCAGGTTAAGTGAGAGATGTTACGAAGAAGGAAATTAAAAGTAAAGTTTAGAAACGTGTCTGGCAAATAGAAGCGTCATAAGTGAACCTGGGAAGACAGTGGATAAAATAAACAGAGAGAGAGAGAGAGAGAGAGAGAGAGAGAGAATTTACCCAAACATCTTGATATCACACAGTAAACTAATCATCTCCTCCTGCTTACCATCGACAAGTTCAAATCCAACGTAGTCCTAGATAGTTGATACAGGAGACACTAAAACTCCTCACGGTTAGATAGATATTTTCCCCGTGACAAATGGTGCGGGAATAAATAAACCACAAACCCATTTACCAGCATTTTTACACATGACATAAGGGTGTGACAGCAGTGTGAGAGAGAGGGTGTGTGTGTCGTGGTGGGGTGAGGAGGGGTGTGTGTGTGTCGTGGTGCGGTGAGGAGGGGTGTGTGGGTGTGTGTCGTGGTGCGGTGAGGAGGGAGATGCTGCCCAGATGAGTTACGACACAAGAATACCAGAGTCTCAAAAGGAAAAATGGTCTTATTGAAAAGTGGTGAAGCCAGTGACTGCCTTTATGTGTATCAATAGTAAGTCTACGGATTTGGCGCACCCTCATTCAACTACTACAAATCAACTCGCTTAAATGCAAGACAAGAGTGTAAGCTCTGAGCGATCAGGAGGAAAGATGATCAGCCGATGTATGTAGTGAAGATAACACTAACACAACGTGGAATATATGAAAAATAGGGAAAAATAGGGGTGAAATAGGGGAAAATGGGAAAATCGTCGAAAACTGGACGAGTAAGATAATTATAGTGAGGGCTGGGCAGGTCAAATAGCTACATCACTGGCCTCCTGTCCTAGACGTCATTCGTTCGAGCACGGGGCGCCTCCACTGCACCCAGCTGTAGGTAGGTGCCTAAGTTTATAGTTGGGGAAGTGAAGGCGGTCAAGCGCACTGTCGGTCTCTTTACCACCTTGATTCTTTACATTGTGGTCACCAACATAACAGTAATTCATGTGTTTTTTTATGATATCTCACACACACACACACACACACACACACACACACACACACACACACACACACACACACACACACACAGAGCATGAAGGATAAACAGTAAAAACTTCGATAAGAAAGAGTTAAGAGACAAGAAAAATATCAAATATATGAATCCAGAAAATTTCCCATTGATATGTCAGGTTCCTTCACACGGTCGTCGACAACCTTGGCCAACAGTGTCACACAACACTGAGCCATCGTATTGTTTATTCAGGCCGGTGCCACAGGATGACTTGGCACTGTGGGCACATGTCTTTATGGGCCAAGCTAACATCCGGAAGGTTGGGTTTGGTTAGGTTACGTTGAGTTAGGATTAGGTTAGCTTAGGTAAGGTTAGTACTTATCTCATTCGTTGTAGATTTTATAATGTTTACATACATGGCCGCCCCTCTACACACACACGCGCATACAAACTTATACAAACACAAACACTTGAAAACATATGCATATAGGAACACACGCGCCCACAGACTCACATACGCACACACACATTCAAATATTCACCCACACGTACACTATAATCTCCCCTGACAAATCCCTGTGGCCTGAAAGATCAAAATACTATACACCTTCTTGTTCCCCTCCCCCCTCCCTTCCTCCCCTCCCCTCCGTCCCACCCCAACCTTTCCTCCCCTTCTTTCCGTCCCACCCCCACCCCATTCCCCCACCCACCCCACGCGGTAATCCTCCACAGAAAACGGTAAAAATTGCAGCAACCAGCATTCGTCAAATTGAATCCACCTAATTCTCCCCAAAAATAAGTTTCCCCGCAAGACAGGCATGGATATTTTCCTCACGGCGCTGAACCGAGAGGGAAAAGAAATTCAAGAGAGTAAATTCGCAACGCCATTAACTTAAATTTTAAAGCCGAGTTGAACAAATGGCAAAAAAGGCGAGTGTATGTATCCAGGTTTTGGGTCCACATGGAGGAGGAGGGATAGAGGAAGGAGGGATAGAGGGAGGGAGGGAGGGATAGAGGGAAGGAGGGATAGAGGGAAGGAGGGATAGAGGGAGGTAAGGGAGGTAGGTGGGAGGTAAGGGAGGTAGGTGGGAGGTAAGGGAGGTAGGTGGGAGGTAAAGGAGGGAGGTAAGGGAGAGGAGGGGAGGGGAGGAATGAAGGGAAAGGGAGGGGGGAAAGGAGGCGAAATTCTGGCATTTAACGTGTCCTATTTGCTCTACTCTCCAGAATTTGGAATCGATCGCGTTCTCGTGTTTTCTTGATTTCGTGAGACTCTGTGTGTGTGGATGTGTGTGTGATAAAATTGCTTGTCATTGTTTTCATACTCAACATTGGCAAATGCGCGGTTGACAAAGTAACAAAGAAGGAAGTTATTATATCTGCTCACGTCTACATAGTGACTACCATGAGGAATAACCCCCTGGTAAGGTTTACAGTGCTAGAATGATGTGATTTTTGAGAAACTAGAAATAAACATCTTGGGTATCGCCTCATGTTTATTTTATTTTGCCATCCAGAGTGAACCGTGACGTCATCCTTCCACCTTGGTACAGTATAATGTGTTAAGGCGTGCCCACACCTGGTGAAGGCGTGCCCACACCTGGTGAATGATCATGTATAAGAACTAGTGAAGAAGCAGAGGCGAGTGTTTCATTCATGGAATTCCTTGGTTTGATCGCTATATGTGGATGGAGGTTCGAGCACGTTCGAACGTGAGAGAGCGCATACGAATGTGTTCCCCTGGTTGTCGGTACTACAAAGGGTGAGTTAGTTAGTGCTCGGCAGACTTGACCGTGGTAATAGTTGTTGGTCTGTGCTCCTGATGTTGACATCGAACAAAGGCGAGTCAAGACCTACCAAACGAACGTGAAAAAGCACCATTGAAAGAAAAAAAGTGACTGCCCATTCATTAGTGCTCCTTCGAACTCGTTCTTGTTCGTTCACTTGGTCTGCACGCGCCTTGACGTGCAGCTCACCAGCCAATCTTACTTTAAGTTTTACACTTGTTGGGGAATGCCTGACAAATTCCTGAACAGGCCACCTAAGGGACGTAGTTTACCGTCAAAGTGTGTACCTATGTACCGATTCACCACAGGTACCACCCGTGAGTAAAATATTGACGTCACTAAAAACAAGGACAATTACTATCTGTGAACATTAGATAACACACAAAAGAGAGTAATATTTTCACCAAGTTGTAGAGGTGAAGTAGAGCGGGTGGACCATGGTTTATACCGACTGTAACCACCACCAGCTGCCAGAGGGTTAGTGGTGACGGACGCTAGACATAAGGAGAGCGTTAGGAGACGTTTTCCAACTACAAGCATAACTGCTTCCCACTCTCCCTGTCCCTCCCTCTCACCTCACATCCCCCCCTTTCACCTATCCTCCTCTCCCTTCCCCCCCTTCCTATCTTCCTAACCTTTCCCACCCTTCCTCCCTTCTCTCTCCAGCCCCTCCCTCTCCGTCCCATCTTTATTCCCCCTTCCCTCCCTCCACCCTCCTCCCTTCACTCTCCTTTCCCCATTCTCCCCCCTCCCTTCCCACCCGCCCTCCCTTCCTTCCTTCGTTCATCTCCCAGGATTGACCATGCATAATTAAAGAAGCATTAGCATATTCCCTGGTGATGTTGTCCGGGTGTTCTATTTGCATGATAGTTCGAGAGAGAGAGAGAGAGAGAGAGAGAGATATTATTACAGTGTTACCATTGACCCTAAACATGTTATTAAGGCTTACGTCGTTCCTGGCTAATGCTAGATGCGAAATGTTTTTGTTTTTAACAGTAGAAACGATAGAAATATGTTGGTAGCAGACAATGTTGGAAAAAGGACGAGGCAAATAAGAAACACACTGTTCTTCCCCTCTTTCAGTATAGGCTACAGTATATTAAGCTTTCAGTGTATGAGTTAGTGTAACCAGCATTGCCCTCGACTGCTTTTGTATTCCCATGTGTAAAATGTGTTACTCATTTACATCTGGGGGACTGGTAGTGCCCTGGGATCGAACCAACACCCATTAAGACAGCAGGCAGTAGCGAATGGATGAGATGAAGATAACCAATAAACAAGAAAAGAATGAGAACCAACCTACAGAAAAAGATGTCTGACTAGGCCTAATTTCCAGAGCATCGGCGACAAACACAAAACATGAATAAACAGGAGAGGAATAAAACCCAATAAAACAAAGGTAGATGGACTCAGAACTTGATAAAAACAGAGAAAACATAACTTACAGAGTACGTTGAGTTTGATACCGTCTTCCTTGGCTGAATTCGGGATCAGTTGATTCTCTGAGCGGCATGTTAGGTACTTTCCACTGTCTATCATGTCCGCTTTGTACTTGACGATGGATGTGGTCACGTTACTATCCGGCGACGTCTGGCAGAGGGAGAGGTCAAAGGTCAGTACAGGTCAATAGTGGCCACAGGGCATGAAGAATGTAATGAGATCCACAGGTAAAGTGAGAGGAGGTTAGAACTATGTTATGTCGTAGGAAAGAGAGAGAGAGAGAGAGAGAGAGAGAAAGAGAGAGAGAGAAAGAGAGAGAGAGAGAGAGAGAGAGAAGGCGACCCACTCCTCTCAGCTCTCAGAAGTAATCTCAAACTGTAAACAAAACTCCCGTTAACTTGGCAAAAATCACTGATTCTCCAGACCTGGCTGATCCCCTTGGCATCTTCCCCTTCTACTTGTTCCTCGAATACAACAGAGCAAGAATCTTTACGGAAATACTCCTCAGATGAAGTAAATACTAGAGGAAGATGGATACAGGCAATGGAAGTCTAATTGAAGAATACATATGACTTTAATATATCTCTTAAGTTTATATAATCATTACTATATTTTAAATTGTGTATAAGTCTTAATCTTACTTAATATCAAAGCCCTTAGAAAAGTCTTAAATTTACCTTATACAAAGACATACAAATTCCCAATTATTACCTAAAATTCTAATTCCTATAAACATCACATTTAATAAAAGACAAAAATATTCCAATAGGTTCTACTGATACAAATACAATTATGTTAAACCCACCGGGACGGAAATATAGTCAACATTCTCTATTATATATCAACTAACGCTTAAACCTGAAGGCGTAACAAAAACACAGGTGCTAATTAAGGTACTACAGGTAGATCTAGTTTCTTAATGCAGTCTTATTATCAATGCAGGAGTAGGAGAGGTGTGTTATAGGGGTCACAATGGTTGAGAAGTTGACGCGATGACCCCAGAGAAGTTATAAACATGTTATATGACGTCCGAGAAGTTGTGAATATGTTATAAGACGTCCGAGAAGTGTGAACATGATATATGATGTCAGAGAATCCTGTGTATATGAAGATTAAGTGACAGAAGCCACTAAGTTATTTATGTGTGTACTCGAGCAGCTTCTATGCTTGACATGTGACGTCATAGACCAGCACATTTCAGGATGGACTCTGGTATGAAGGTCAGATAAGTCGATAGTTTTTATAATGGTCTGCCTCTGCACCAGGGGAGGCAGCAGCGGCCAATGCATTTTATGTGAGCTCATTTACATCTAAATTCGAATACAAGGCAATCCAATTCTAAATTCCATCCAACAATAATTACACCAGGCTATAATTAACTCGATTGTATTAATAATACGGTACTACAAAGTACAACATATATGTCTATATGTATGTAATGCACACTACTACTACACGCATAAAAAACATGAATACATAACAATATAATATTAAACATTTACATCAAACGGAGGTATTTGTGCCATAGGTGTGTGGCTTCTGTTTATTAGCGGTTTGTGGCCGGGGAAAATAATGGACTCATATTTGGTAATTAAATTACTCTTGATGAGGATTCTCATAACTGGATATATATATATATATATATATATATATATATATATATATATATATATATATATATATATATATATATATATATATATATATATATATATATATATATATATATATCGTGTGTGTGTGTGTGTGTGAAAGATTTACCCAGTCTACATTAACGTGATATCTGTCCCACCGTCACCTTCTCAAACGTCACCCACCCTCTGTCCCACTCACCGTCATCACAGCCTCCTTGAGTGCCGTGGTGCCACCCTTCCACCAGCTGATGATGGCAGCGGGCCGTGACCCCCAGGCTTGGCACACCAACTCGTACTCGGTGCCGGCACTCAGCTTATCAGCGGTACTTAGGATGGTTACGTTCACGGGACGGACTGTTAAGGGGAGAAGGTAAAGTGTATTAGAATATGACATGACAATATGACATGAATTAGAATATGACATGACTTCAGGGTATGACTGACAGAATATGACATGACTTACAATATGATACCAGTTCATAATTCATGTTTTATACAGGTAATAATCTCATGAATCAGTCTAGTTCACTCCGAATAAACTCCGAACCACTGTCTTTCTTTCGGGAGTTAAATCACGAATCTTTGCGTCTCTTTTGGCAATTGAATCAAGAATCATTTTCTTCTATTTCAAAATATTACCACGAATCTCTTGTCTATTTCAGAGTGATGTCACGAATCATTTTGTGGACCTAGTACTTGAATCATGAATCAGGTTTATTTTGAAGCTGAAGCATGATTTATTTATGTCCTTATGAGGAATAAATCACGAACCACTCTGGTTTTGTTTGGAAACATGAATTACGAGTTGTTATTTTTCCTTTTCCTGTCAAATTATCAGGTCTGTTTTTTTTTGTTACGAAAGACCTCAGGAACCGCCTCACTCCCTCTTACACACGACAGGGAGCTTTGGAATAGACGATAAGTATTTGTTCTCTCTCTCTCTCTACTTTCACACTATCTCACTTTCTTCTTTATCTCTCTTATCTCTTTATTTCTCTTATCTCTATCTCCCTTGCCCCTTTCTCTATTCTGTCGTCCCTCAGCAAGCGAGACTCGTGGTGATAAATTGACCCCCATTAGAGGAAGTCATTTTTCCCCCTTAAGCTCTGTGTTATTTATTTGATCCATAAATCAAGAAGAGTGAGTTAATAACACACACACACACACACACGCACGCACACACGCACACACACACACACACACACACACACACACAGACACACACACGCACACACACCATTGCTACTACCTTGATCAATTCGACGTAAGTGGCTTGGATATGTTAGTAGAATAAATTAGCTTTATAACACGAGAGTAATGTTAACAGAAGAGAAAGTTATTACAGAAAGTGGAGTTATAGGAAAGGGTGACTATGGTAGATTTATGGGTCTTTCTTTACAAGGGATTAAATTATGTTGGCGAGTCGTCTGTGTATGTGTGTGTTTGTGTGTACGTGTGTCTGTGTCTCCCCCTCTGTTTTCGTTGTGAGGCTTAAGGTATTTATTATGAGGATTAAGTGGTTGTGGGTAATGAGGCAGACGCTCATAACAATTCATCAGAGGTAATGATGCAGCTATGGTGTAAGAGTGTTCCCCCCTCTCGTTTGGGACACTTAATCTCTATTTTACCTCACAACTCCTACTAGAGGGATGTTTTTTGGCATTTATGATGATGGAAATTTACCTGTTTATATTTGAGTGACGGAAGAGTGTTTTTATTACAGTGTTTATCGGTTTAATAGGATAAACAATAGAATGACCAAGGATCCTTCTAACAGTGACTCATGACTCGTAAAACAACTGGCCAATACATTCTAACAATGACTCAACTTGTCTTCAAAAAAAAAATCACATTAAACAATCCTCAAGTCTCTTAAGAGTAGCTCACAAACCCTACAGTACATTAATATTATTCAGTCCTCTCACAAACGACTCATAAACCACCAACCAACTCTCACATCTTCCTCATAAAAAACAAACTGCCTCAGAAGACGTGTATATCCTCCCCTGCGTCCCTCCCTCCCCACTCACCTACCACCAACTCGTCTAACTAATCATGTCACCTGGTTCTACGCCCTTTCCTCTTTTTTTTTACCCTTCCCACCTCACTCCTCAACGATACTTGCGAGAGCTCGTTCGTAGTCCCTAAGTTGGAAAGTCAAGACCACCGTGGGAAATCACCGAGAGAGAGAAGAGTACTTTAGAATCTCTGCCTCCGGTACTACTAAGAAATGCCATCGTTGTCGTCTTGAAGCTGTAACTCCTATATATATAATACTGTAACTGTACATATTCGTAGGTTATGAATCTGAAACTGTATATTTCGTAGGCCTGTAGATGTGTATTTTACCGAAAACATAGCTGGCCTACGGTAACTGTATTTTCTTACGCTGTAAATCAGACATATACAGACATTCTCTAATTCTATTTCCCTAATCGACAGACCCAATGTACAAATTTGTTTTCGCTGTAGAAATAAGATAACTTAACCTTGTTCTTATGCATAATTTATTCTCAACTGAGGTCGCGATCCTCCAGCTAAGATTTCCTCTTGTAAATCAATCAATTCACAAAACACTAAGAAATATTTACTGTTTATGTTATTTTCAGCGGTATATTCCACCAATACATTAAAATACAATGATAACAGTGCTAACACAATACAGTAAAGTTAATGTTATCTACACACTGAATATATATAACAAAACATAAAAGGCTTTTCTGACAGTATTCTGGATATCAACCCTTGTCAGAGTACAGTGTTAAAAAGAATTAAACTACGTTATTCAACAGCGTTCCACCAGCATTCACTAGGCACAAAATAAACGCGGGAGAAGTACGAGTGTATATATGCAACCCTAACATGTCCCCTTATCCTCGAAATGACGGACTTTCAATACATTTTTCGCTAAATCTATTAAAAAATTCACATCTTATATTTTCTATAATAAAACGTATTAACTCTAAGCTTAACCACATCTCTTGCTGTATGAGTTAGTTCTTAAGCTTATGTCCTTTTTGCTTTCTTGATTTATAACGATTATATATTATAGTCCCGTCAGAAGATTTACTTTAGGTGAGAGCGTTAGTACTCACATCAACACTGCACGAGCAAGACGTCTGGAGTGTTCCTTTATTGCGATTTGACTCTCACGTTTCCATTCACCCCCCCCCCCACCTCCTCCCCCTACCACCAGCCTCGTCCCTAATTCATCACATTAATCTTCGTGGATCTTCTCTCATTCTATTATCTTTATCTTCCCTTATTTTCCTATTATTATCTCTCTCTAGTGTTCATTCCTCCCATTACCTCCAACGTTACTCTGTTTACATCTCGTTTTTCTGTCGTTTTTAGTTCTGTCTCTCTGTCAGTCAGTCTCCGTCTCATCACTTTATTCATGATGGCTAAATGAGCTACAAAAATCAGGCAGTGATGTGTGTAATTACCTGCTGTAGACCTGCACAGATTTACACCCAAAAATGTGTTTTATTTAAGCTACAGAGATTAAAAGAGAAGGGACAAACATCATGTCCAAATAACATTACATTTATTGTTTTTTTTTTCCTTTCATGAGGGTAAATGTTAATGGCTTGTAACGTTATTTTAATTCCGTCCTCTTAATTAAACGCTGCAGGAAATTAGGGCAGCGCGAATGAGTTGCTCGTTGGTGAAAGTTTCTTCAGCGTAGTTTTATATTATACAAAAAAAAAAGTTAAGTTCTTGTTGAATCTGTGTTGTGATAAATTCATCGGCGTGGACTCTCAAACCAAACCTAGCCAAACCTAGCCTACTTCCCCCTTCTCCATGTGTTTAATCATGAGGTAAAATAAAGCTGGTGGTTTTAATCTTCACGTGATCCACATATTATTCTGCGTGACATACACACACACACACATATATGTATTTATATTTATATCGTAGAAACACAACAGTTGAATATTCATTTGTGTAGGAATACAAAAGGATTCATTCTCATTGAAATTCTGCCTCAATAACGATGCCAGCAAAAGTCGCAAAGAGTGAAATGTAATGAAAGTTGAGTAGAGGTACGAGAACCACCACTACTATCACCACCACCACTACTATCACCACAACACTACTATCACCACAACACTATTACTTATTCTACTACTACTACACACACAAGCACAGTCCTCAGCCTTCATGGTGTGAGGATGTAGTTGGCGTGTCTCTTAACAGCTCCATCTTTCCTGTATTTAGTTCAACACTCCTCAATGCTCTTTAAACCAATGTATCTCCTATCTCTCACCTAATAACCTTTCCAAGACCTTACCTGGGATTCATGGCAATATATCAATATCTTACTTAAACATCTTACTTCCTTGTGTTGTATTTTCATATGTGTTCTAAATATTATCCTAAACTACCAATCCATATCCTTACTGCCACTAAAGGGATAAATATTGAGAATTTCCAACAACTTTTATCTGGTCGAGTCAATATATTTTACTGTTGGTTGTTCTACTCGACTGTGGTTAACGCCTACCCCAGGATATTAGTTATTTGTGTTGTTCCTTCCAGGCTTACATGTATTTACCCACAAAACAACTGAATCCCCCTCTCCCCACTCATCCTCAAACCCCCCATTCACCTTCCAACCTCCCACTCACCCCTTCCACTCACTATCCAATCCCCACTCACCCTCCAACCTTCCCACTCGCCACTCCACTCACCCCTCCCACTCCTTTGCGAAATTTCAAGCGAAACAATAACATACAACCTCCTTTCTTCACTCCCTGTTTCGTCAAAGGCACTCTGTTTCTCACACACACACACACTCACACACACACACACTCACTCATTTCACCCTCACAAACACACTCACATATGTTTGTCACACCAGCTCGTGTTTGTTACCAGCTCTGAAACAAAGACGCCGAGTGGACAAATGCAAATAATTTTGATGGTCTTGTTTAACACAGCATTGTTAGTCTCGGGGTTGACTACAAAGGACACGTGAAATTGAGATATGCATGTCATTAGTTTCCAGGGTAATTGTTTATAAAATCTCAAGTCGTGTATAAATTTCTAGGTAGATAGTTAGGTTAGGTTAGGTTATATATTTGAGTCTAAAATGTCTGTATTTTCTTGACCAGCCAATATATCTCAACCAATATCGTGAATTTAAGATACATTACTTTTAGACAAATTCCAATTTCCGGTACAAAATAAAGAAAACTTCTATCTTACGCGTCAGACTAACTTATTCTCTTTGAAACATCTCGCTGTTGAAATGTTGATGATGATACTGTCTTGTTCACTCCCTCGGAAAGCATCACTGAGCATAAGCGCCTCCCTCGGGTACTCTGAAGATGGTAAAGTGTTCCAGGTCG